CACTCAAGGCGATTACGTCGGTGTTCCCGAGTTAAAGGGAGGACCCAGTGTGGCCGGTATGAAAATAAGCCAAAACTTCTCATTCGTCGGTAAACACTTCGCATGCCAATAGGTCTTCCGTTTTCTGCAAACCATTCATTTGCAATGGACCTGGTAGTGGAGAAACGGTCCCTTAAGGCCAATAATGTTAGGCGGCGATCTTCACGGTCTGTTGTTCTACGGCGGCGTCCAGTGCCCCTTGCTCTTTGCGTACGGCCTTCTCGAAGCGGTGCCTGACAACACCTAACCACAGTGTCTACACTTCTTTGCACTCTAACTGCAATTGCCCGAAAAGAAAGTCCAGCTTCCCGAAGTCCCACTATACGGCCCCTATCAAACTCACTAAGTTGACGAAATCGTACAGGTCTCCGTACTCTACGCATCGTAGCCGATGGTAAAGGATGTCAAGAACCAAAATCCGCCAACGTTGATTCTTTACTGCGGCTGAAATGTTCATTTTTAGAGCGTTAGTGAATTAAAAAAAAGCAGTATAAAAACCGGAATGTCCAACTGATAAGGCTGAAAATTTTTTCACTTGTTATTTACAGTAAGATAAATACATTCATCAACTTTTATTAAAATAAAACCATTTAAACTGGGTGTTCGGATTTATATGTCACTTAGTATATAAAGAATACAGATATGACAAATCTAAATTCGGACTTTAAAATATTTTTTCAATATGCCGTCCCTCATGAAGTTCACGCTGTACAAAAATTTGAGAGATAATGATCGATTTTGGCAATAAAAAAGTTACGAGCTTAGCCATCTGAAGTGGGTGCAAGATTGTACGAGTACATCTACTTAATACAAAAAAATATTGTACAGAGAAGATAAATGCCTCATACCATAGTTGCCACAACCGATGGCATGTCCTGCATTTAGGTGTCATTGAAAAGGTCTCATCGAAAACTGACTCTAACCTGAATATTAAAATACCCTCACAGATACTTTTTCAGTTAGTACTGTCGTCAGATCCACCGAAGCTAAGAAAGTGAAACAGCTTGATCGTCATCTAGGAGTGACCTTGAGATGATTCGAAAAATGTACTCAATGCTCTGAAAAATACGCAGTGAATGACCACGACAGATTTCAAGGTGAAATCATGAAGTAACTGATCACTGACCTCAGACGCGTACGATAACTAGATTCTGTTATGTAATCTACGCAACGAGCTTTCACTTTATCGGAAGTGAATCATTGAACCAAATACGCCATAAAGTTGCAGTATGAAAGTTTTAGGAGAATGTGTAGCTACAAAATCAGTTGTTAATGCAAATCGCATACAAGACAAATGTCTACATTTTTAGGCAACGATCAAGAGCTCAAATATCAACAGCAACAACAAATTATAAGGGTTGGCGATATTTTTAAAACCTACAAGGCTCTTGGTTCTGCATTGCAGTAGCCTTGATGGAATTTTAAAAATTCTAAGCAGTACTTTTCTGAGTTTTACTGTAAGCAAGAGCTATTTTACAGTTTACAGACCAAGGAAACCGGATGTTTATAATCTAAAATGATAAATTACCTCGTTTTTAAAATTCTTTCCAATTACAATTAGCGAGGAACTAATAATAGGCGGATGAGCATTGCAATGAAAAGGTGCTGTTTTGTTGCTTCCTCATAATGATTTTCAAAAAGGTTTAGCATGAATGTTAGTACCTAGGTCTAGGCGCCATCATCGAGAAATTTTTCAAATGGTACGGTGATCATTTTGCTCCTTGTTAGTACAATGTGACAACTTATACAGGGTTATCCAAATTAAGTGTCCACCATTGGTAACTTTGTTATTAGTAAAAATACAAAGTTGTTTAAATTAGCAAACTAGTAGCATTTTTAACGCTGGTAAAAATGAGAAATAAAAAAAAACAATTGAGAGTCGTTATTTTGATTTTTTTCAGTAAAATAACATTTTTTTAAATAGAAACCCCTGTATATTATATTTTTTTCTGTTAAAGCATCAAATTTTAAACAAAAAAGTTCATAATGACTTTTCCGCTAAAGTCAAAAATAAAGTCAAAATAACGATAAATATTTTTAATTATTTGCAGTATTATAATATTAAGACGGCTATGAAAACAACATGGCGTTCGCGATTTGACAGCATTAAGATAAGCGACAAATTGTTAAACTGGACATACTCGCAACTAGAAGGCTTTGGAAAACAATGATAAAATCAAATAATGTCAAACATTAGTGTAAATACTTGTTTATAAGCTTTATTGTGTCATTAATTTAAAGAAAAATGTTCTCCCATGAAGAAAAGTGTGATATGTTAGAATGCTATTTAGTGTGCAGAAAATCCTCCTTGAGAGCAAGAGAATACTACAGTGAATTATATCCCGCTCGCATTCAACAGTATGAACGATATTTTCTGAGACTTTATCGAAAATTTAGGGGCAACGAAAATGTTTTTGCTAAAACAAGGGCAAAAAAAGAATTCATAATAAGCGAGGCCACGGAAATTGCAGTTATTGGATATTTTGAAGCTTATCGTGAGAATTCAATAGCAGATATTCTCAAGGACTTTAATTTCAGTTATGGTACTGTTCAAAGGATTTTAAAAAATTACAAATTTATTCCGTATAAGTACCGACCAGTTCAAACGCTTTTGGCAGGGGATCCAGAGAGAAGACTTGTTTTTTGCCATTGGTATCTTAGCTTCTGTCGCCAAAATGTAAATAACTTTCGTTACCTTTTATGGACAGATGAATCAAATTTTTCAAATTCTGGAATTTTTAATAGAAAAAACCACCATTATTGGTCAAGAGAAAATATTTTGTTGGTACATCCAAGAGGCCCACAAGTCCGTTTCAGTTTGAACGTTTGGTGCGGTATAATTGGTTCAAAAATTGTTGGCCCGTTCTTTTATGAGGGAACCCTAACTGGTGAAAGATATGTGGAATTTATGTCAGAAATTCTGACTAATTTCTTAGACGAATTGGGTCTTATAAGTAGACATCATCTGCATTTTCAGCAAGATGGCGCACCTGCCCACAACTCCAGAGGTACTTATCATTTTCTAAGTACTACTTTTAATGATCAGTGGATAGAAACAAATGGCCCAATACAGTGGCCTCCCAGATCACCAGATCTAAACCCACTTGATTACATCTTGTGGGGTTACTTAAAGAACCAAATTTACAAGCGAAGGTACGATAACCTTGACGCGTTAAAGACTGCAGTTAGGGAAAAGATAACCCAGATAGATGGTAGGACCATACTTAAGACAGTTCGAGCAGTTGAAAAACGTGCCCAAAAATGTATTGAAGAACAAGGTGGTGTTTTCGAGCATCTTCTTTAAAAAAAATTGTTATTGTATTTTGTAAGATTATAAGTTGATGTTGAAAATAAAGTTTGTCGATACAATTTAATTGTTTCAGATTGGAGGCCATAACTTCAACAATTTGTAACCTAGGAGAAAAGTTATTGTAAGCTTTTTTGTTTAAAATTTGATGCTTTAACAGAAAAAAATATAATATACAGGGGTTTCCATTTAAAAAAATGTTACTTTACTGAAAAAAATCAAAATAACGACTCTCAATTGTTTTTTTTTATTTCTCATTTTTACCAGCGTTAAAAATGCTACTAGTTTGCTAATTCAAACAACTTTGTATTTCCACTAATAACAAAGTTACTAATTTGGATAACCCTGTATATATATACTCTTTCATGAGTAACAAATTATTCTGTATACACATACCTTACAAAATTTATTGACAATAAAATCAGAAAAAAATTTTTGCGTCGTTTCCTGGTGTCCTATTAGACCATAATTCTTATTATTGTAATTTTTGGTGGCAACATCTGTCAAGTTTTGACGCGGGTAATCTCGAAAAAACTACTGACAGGTGCGGTCATACAGTCCATCTAGAAACCATTTGTAATTCAAAATGGCGTGTTTGTGGTTGGTAGAAATTAAGACAATGGAAATAGTCAATGCAAATGCACCCAAATTTGACAGCTTGCCAGTCCGCTATTTTAAAAGAGTCTGATTTTACCTTCGTGGGGTACAACGCTAAAATATATCATTCATGCATCACTTTAATAATCTCAAACTTCTTCCGTTCAAAAAATATGAAGCGTGAAGACCCTTTCTGAAAAGCACTGTATATCCTTAATACCTCGCATTTTCCTTTATTTGCTCGTCACCCTTCGCTAGGAGAACATTGTGTATGCTTGGTTGTAGAACTTAATGATCACGAAAAATTTGTTATAGCACCTCCATGTGTGACATACAAGTTTTCTAAATCGATGCATGGTTTCTTAGATCCTATACAAGTTTGACATAAGCTTATCTCAATGCGAAGGAAGACAATGTTTTGTAAAATTTGGAAAACAATCTCTAGTTTGAAATGAAAACAAAAACGAAAACATCAACCCCAAACTTTCGTGGTTTTTCGAGTATTCGATATATTTTTAAATATTCGGTTGAATGCATGACCGTAGTTAAAATTTCCAAGACCCGTCCTCAGGTTTTATTCATCTTTAGGCCGCAGCATAGTTGAAAGGTTATTGGGCTTCAGCTTCAAATTTCGCTTATCACTTTCGATGCAACTAAACCTAGATTCATATCGTATTCTACCTGAAAATAGCCAACCATATACTGTGTTTCTGTGCCCAAAAAGGTTGAACTTAGCGCCATGTAGCAGACCATAAATATTAATTTTGCTAGCGTGCACTAGAATCTTCCAGATCATTTTTTTTTTTGTACGATAATCAATGACAATACTGAATCAGCCTACAACGAGGATTCTCTAAGTCACTTTTTCTTCTAATTTTCAGCTATGTGGCTGCCCATCTTCTTTTTTCTAATAGCCGTCATCCTGATAGCGTACAGAAGCACCAGGAAACCAAAAGGATTCCCTCCAGGTCCGCGATGGTATCCGTTCATAGGCAGCGCTCCTCAAATTGAAGCCCTGAGGAGGCGGACTGGCCATTTCTTGCTGGCCACTGCTGAGATGGCTAGAAAATACGGGCCTGTCTTGGGACTTAAGGTGGGAGGAGAGACTATAGTCGTGGTGCATGGATTCCAGGTAAGGTCAGAAAGAAAATATTGCTCCTAGGTGTGGATGCTTTATTATGTTTAAAAAGTTGTGTCTTTATTTTTTAATATTTTTTTTATTTATTTATTTCCAACAGGTGAAACCCAATTACAGGACATTCTAAAAACAATAACAATTAAAGAGACATGGTTCTTTGACTCAAATCTATAGTATCACACATTCTAAATAAGATTGGATGATCTATAGCAGTTAATAATCGATGCACTGTAAATATCACATGATTCAGTAACACTGTTCATGACGCAGCACATGAGATTAGTTGGCGATTTTGTCATAACATTTGTACCGCCAGCTTGATAATAGAATGCCGTTTGTTGTCGACTCCCTAGCCTTGGAACGCGGAAACATATTTTTTCAAGTTAATTTTGACAGTCAATTTTATTGTGAATAAGGCCATACAAAAACGACAAAGCAAATATGTTTCGTCTTGTTGACAGTGAATCCAAATTGAAAAACTCTAATAGGGCACTATGGTCACAACCTCTTTCTGGATAAGAACCTGTGCATTTAAGGTGAAAATACTTTAAAGCTTTACGTTGAATGGCCTCAAGGATCAGGACAGAATTTTGGTATATAGGAGACCAGATCAGAGTCGCATACTCCAACTTGCTCCTGACAAAAGTAAAAAATAAAGTCATTAATGTATCAACATTGGAGAAACCCTTCCAGTTTCTGATACAGAAACCAAGTAGTCGAGTGGCAGCCGACGAGATATTGAGTATATGCTCAGTAAACGTTAGCTTGGTATCAAAAATGACTCTAAGGTCTCTATAAGAGGTGCATCTGTCTATAACCTGACCATTGATGTTATAATTCTCATAAATTAAACAGTTAACCTTTCTTGTATAAGTCCTAACTTTACATTTCGAAACATTCAGACTGAGACAATTTCGTGAACACCATGACGAAATTAGAGCTAAGTCATCTTGCAACATGACGCAATCCTCGACTGTCTTGACTGACGTGCAGATTTTGAGGTCATCAGCGAAAAACAAACGGAAACACTTCAGTTCAAAAGACAAGTCATTAATAAATATCAAAAACAATAATGGACCTAGATTTGACCCTTGAGGTACCCCGGACGTGGCCCGATAGTAACTCGACCTATGACCACCATATTCGACAAATAACCTTCTATCCCTCAAATATGAATTCATGAGCGACAGCATTGCATCAGTCATACCCACTGTTTTAAGCTTATCCAGAAGTGCATAATGATCAACTTGATCAAGCGCCTTCTGAATATCTGTGTAGATGACATCAACTTGTCCCTGACCGTCCAGTACTTCAGAAATGTACTGAGTAATTAGAGCCAAGTTGGTGACCGTAGATCTGCCTCTCCGTTTCATAAGCTGATCTCAAACAACTTGCTGAAATTGCACAGGATTGCTATTTGGCGATAGATGGAAATATCAGAGATATCTCCACTTTTGTGAATAGGACACATTTTAGAGGTCTTCCAGGTATTTGGATATGTCTCTGATTTTAGAATTAGGTTGAATATGGAAGCCAGCGGTTTCGCTAGTATATGAATGCAATCTTTAACGAAAACACTTGGAATACCATCACATCCAGACGTCATTTTGTTCTTTAATCTTTTCGAAGCCCTAATTACGTTTTCTTCGCTTATATTTTTTAAAGAAATGATATCGGTAGAATTATTTGTTGGAGGAGATGACCCTAGTAGACCAGACGGGATAAAAACTGTTGAAAATAAGGTAGCAAAACTGTCCACTATATCCTGAGGCGTATCGCAGACATTGCCGTTAAGCGTCATCCTTGGGGGGATTCTAGATTGCTGTTTTTTGATCTGGGCAAATGACCAGAATTTGTTAGGATCATTGACAATGGCATCCTCAACCGATTGGACGTAAGCGGAGTAGGCAACACTGATCTGGCTCTTAATGAGCTTCCTAAAATTACTGAACTGATCATAAGAAAACCTTACAAGGTGTCATTGAGTCACTGATTACTCAATGAGCCAGCGGTTATCAAAATTTGAGTTTATTGTTCAACGGTTACACCGGAAGAATATACCAAACTATATATTCTTAAACTAACATCCTACATTTTATTCAATTTTTTGATTCTACGCCAGATTTTAACTACATTTCATGTCCAAATATATCATCCTACGAAGTCTGCAAATTAAGTGATGAGACCGACAACGCAGTGTTCGATCCGGCAACACTGGAGCTTGAAGGAGAGATAGGGGAACATGTGATTCACCTTCACTACAAGTTTGAATACGCTTGAGTCATTTTTCCATATTGTGTTCTAAAAAGAATGACATCAAAAATCAGTCTCATCACTTAATTTACAGACCTCGTATACTTACGTGTAACCGCAGATTTACTATATTTATAAGTCTAAAAATTAAATGTGGTACTACCTCATAGAAGAAGAATCATGTATGCGATGTACCACCTGGCAGTACAAATAGGTTTCAAAATAAGGTCCAATCTTTTAGCCAACTGCCTTCTTTACGCCCTAACTGTAAAGCAGCTTCACCTTCTAGTGGATAACTTTAAGTTGGCATACGCTCATTGAATCCAATACACACTAGTGTTTATTTGTTACTAAGCAGAGGAAGTATTTAATGACACTCAGTCATTTAGTGGGGTCAATCCATTCATTTTTATGGCGTACTTGAATGCTGCATTTCTTTTTTTTACTTTATAGCCATAGATAATACTTCATCAATCAGCTACTTCATGCCCTGGATACACAAATAACTATTTTTCAGGCTAACCGAGAATTTCTAAGTAGCGACGGATTGGCAGGTAGGCCAAAAGGTCCATTTTTTGATTTAAGGACCTGGGGGAAAAGATTAGGTAAGTAGTATTTTTGTCGCGATATTTACGAGAAAAGTCTGAATTTTCATGATGAAGTAGAACACAGGTCAGAGTTTGATCTCAGAAATATCATTAGAACCGATAGACCTATCTTACGATTTTTAGATTTCCGTACCGTGGTAAGTGTCATAGAGGTCACGCAGCAGATTGCGTCTGGTCCAAGTCCATTTCAAGGTCAAACATAAAAAAATGGCTAACCAATTGGAAGCATCTATTTTGTAGTTATTTGGGTCGCCGAATGCAAATCTGGAGTTTGCTCTGCCCGGCAAGGTCAACCACTATGACCTTGAAATATCGTCTCGATGATATTGCCGCTCAAATCACACGCCAGATTTGGATTAAGCTTGACACTCTTATGGAACAAGCCTAATGTGACTTTGAAATAACGTCTAGATGATCTTGCTTGGTACAACAACCGCCAGGTTTAGATTCAGACGTCGAAAAACCCTTCAGGTGGAGGTTTTGCATTTACATACTTCAACCTTAGTAACCTCAATTTGACCTTGAGTAACCTTTGAATGACCTCGCTAGACAAGGCATGCGGATTTAGTACAGTGACCCAAAAAATACAATATATATTTTTTTTAAATTTCTAAGCATTTTTTCTGAATCTAAGCTTAAAATGACCTTGGACCATGAGGCTCATTCAACTTGCATTGAGATCGGTGACCCAATAAACCCTAGGAGACTCGCTTAGCGTCCAGTGATAACCCTGAGATCAACTGTTGACCAGTGTAATAAATTATTGACCCGACGTATATCAAGAATTACTCTCCAGCATCCTTTGTCGAAAATTTGATTTTTTTATTCGCCATTCCAGGAATCTTGCTAGTAGACGAGGAATTCTGGATGGAACAGCGTCGCTTCCTTCTACGCCATCTTAGAGAATTCGGGTTTGGCACAAGGAACATGTCGACCTTGATAGAAGAGGAGACTCAAGAGCTCGTTAACCACGTCAATAGTATTATTGACCATGACGATCGATCAGTCTTCGATATCCACAACCTATTTTGTGTTCCAATTTTAAACAGTTTATGGAAGATGCTTGCAGGTGTTAGGTGAGATTTCAACCACCTTCAAATAACCTTTGACGTACTCAATATATCCTACATATTTTTCATATTCAGCGTGAATATTTACAGTGCGATTCAAAAGTTTCGAAACGGCAGAATATTTGATAAAATTTAATTTGACTTTGGTCATGACCTTCAAGCTCAAATAGACGATTTTCTGAATGAGTCACTATACTTAAGCAAATGAAGCAGAAGATTATACGTTAAGATATGACCTTGTATGAAAAATAGTTTGACCATGAATCCATGCTTGACAGTAAAATTTTCCTCTGACTCCGTTTTCGGAGCCAAAGGTAAATATACTATGCAAAGAATTATTTAGACCTTGGTTTGACCGTCAAGATCATGATGAAGGTCAGTTTCAAGGTCTTTAGTGGAAAGTCAGAAAAAGGTTGAGATAAGATGCGTATTCTTGCTTTATTCAAAGAAAAATCCTCGAAACCACCTCAAACAATGGCTTTTTTGCTACGAAATTGAGCAGGTCAAACTAATTTTCACTCAAGGTCATGTCTAACCAACCCTTTCCTTTTTTATCCCTTCCTATGGCCGAGGTATAGAATACCAGTCAATAAACTGTATTGACCTTGATTTGACCATCAATATCATGTTTAAGATGTTTCAAGGTCACATGTGGAGAGGCCCTGTGGTCCTTGAGTCTTTATTGTTTTATCTTTAAAACGATTTCCGTAACCTTCTCAAAAAAGGTTTTTTACGGTGACCTCTACCAGAACGTATAAGATCAAAGCAATGTCATGTCTAAACGCATTTTTTTCTGCCCAGTCTATTACGGGGGTTAAAACCATAGTGGGGTCTTATTTGAAAATCGTCTTGACCTCGATTTGACCTTCAAGGTCATGTTCAAACTCAAAATCAATGTCGCTACCGAATAGGCAGGGAAATATTATAAAATCTTAACTGTTTTACTCTACCTGGAATATTCTCAAATATCTTGCAGCTCTGAGATTTTTTAATCACTCTGTATGGTGCCTAGGTTGATCAAAGATATTTTTTAATTTTCTTTTAATGTTCGCTGTTAAAGGTATGGAGCAGGAGATGAGAAGATGGTAGAACTACAACAGATACTGGCTGACTTATTCAAGCAAATCTCAATGGTGGGAACTACGTTCAGTTACTTCCCAATACTGAAGTACTTGGCACCAGAAGCTTCAGGTAAATAACTCTTTACGAACGTCAAGTTCCTTGTAAGACAGACTTGCTGATACCAGCTATGTACATGAACCTTCAACATACTATGGTACTGCTTAAAACCTAAGGTAGTGATGTGTAAGGAAGCCATTTAGTTTTGATGACCTTGTATATTACCATTAATGTACCCCCGAGGAGAAGCCAGAAACTCCTCCCACAACTTCTCCTATCAAGGGAGAGTAACAATCTTTCACTGAAATTGTAGAAAGAGGCGGTTACTATTTTTTTACCGCCCTGTATTATTATCAATCGAAATGTCGAGCAAAGTCTAATGAAGTAAGTCCGTTACAAATCATATGGCAAAATCAGAATAATTTACCAGCCTGTATTCGTGAGTTCTTAAATATCTAAAAAACGGAATTTAGCGTTAAAATTGGATAGTATAGAAGGTCTCTAATTCTAATTTAAAATAAGTAAGTTGCTATGCAGTGCTGGAGTTACTAATTTGTAAATATTCAAGCCGCAGTTATGTATATTCCACAGCTATACACAAATATATACTAAGTGACATATAAATCCGAACACCCAGTTTAAATGGTTTTATTTTAATAAAAGTTGGTGAATGTATTTATCTTACTGTAAATAATAAGTGAAAATATTTTCAGCCTTATCAGTTGGACATTCCGGTTTTTATATTGCTTTTTTTTAATTCACTAACGCTCTAAAAATGAATATTTCAGCCGCAGTAAAGAATCAACGTTGGCGGATTTTGGTTCTTGACATCCTTTACGATCGGTTACGATGCCTAGAGTACGGAGACCTGTACGATTTCGTCAACTTAGTGAGTTTGATAGGGGCCGTATAGTGGGACTTCGGGAAGCTGGACTTTCTTTTCGGGCAATTACAGTTAGAGTGCAAAGTTGTGTAGACACTGTGGTTAGGTGTTGTCAGGCATGGCTTCGAGAAGGCCGTACGCAAAGAGCAAGGGGCACTGGACGCCGCCGTAGAACAACAGACCATGAAGATCGCCGCCTAAGATTATTGGCCTTAAGGGACCGTTTCTCCACTACCAGGTCCATTGCAAATGAATGGTTTGCAGAACACGGAAGACCTATTGGCATGCGAAGTGTTTACCGACGAATGAGAAGTTTTGGCTTGTTTTCATACCGGCCACACTGGGTCCTCCCTTTAACTCGAGAACACCGACGTAATCGCCTTGAGTGGTGCAGACCACGGTCACTCTGGGATCAGGAATGGAACAGTATTGTCTTTAGTGACGAGTCTCGATTTTGTTTAGGCATGCACGATGGTCGTGCCAGGGTTAGAAGGCGACGTGGTGAAAGGAGGAATCCACAGTTTTTTGTTGAAAGACATGTTCATCACACTGTTGGAGTTATGGTTTGGGGTGCTATAGCTTATGGTTCCAGGTCACCTTTAATCTTCATCAGAGGTAACATGAACGCGCAGCGTTATATCCACGAAGTTCTAGAACCCCATCTTTTACCCTATCTTGACACCCTGGCAGATCCAACTTTCCAACAATATAATGCCCGACCACATGTTGCAAGAGTCGCAATAGACTTCTTTCAACATAATGATGTCACATTGTTACCATGGCCACCAAGATCTCCCGACTTATCCCCAATTGAGCACGTGTGGGATATGATGGGTAGGAGATTGCTCAATTTGCAACGTCCCCTCAGACTCTAGAAGCACTTCGAGAGGAGTTGGTGGTTGCCTGGAATGGGATACCACAGGATGATATTGACCGCCTGATCAGAAGCATGCCTAGGCGCGTGGGAGAATGCGTAGCACACCAGGGTGAATCCACACATTATTAAAGTTCAAAGAGCTTTAAAGCAGTGCAATCATTTTGAAATTTTTATCATTTACTTATTATGCTTCATTAAGTACTTATACAAAATTTTATTAAAATAAAACCATTTAAACTGGGTGTTCGGATTTATATGTCACTTAGTATATTTTCTATTGATGCAGCATTATAACTCAGGTGTGAGCTCAACTTGTAGTAACTTTAACTCCTTGGTAGTATGCTATGCTAGGTACAAAATTTCTTGTTTCTTGTGAGTAGTTGACCACATTACTAATTGCAAATCTAAGATCTTCTTAGCCTAAGCAATAACTTTTTACGGATCTCCGCAATACAAACTATTTGAGGTAGCAACATCTTGCAATTTTTGCTCAGCATGTACCGGGTAAGTAGGAGCAGTAAAGCCACTGCGAACAATAGCTACGAAGGTTTTTATAACTCAACTAACAAGAAACAGAGGAATGCAAAAGGTTGTTAGAGTTAGTAGGTACTATGTATTTGGAGCTTCTGACTATTTTTATGTGTAGTTAAAAATATTTGGATGAAACCAAAATTAATCCAGTAAGTCCTAAGTTTGTTTTTTTGTTTATCAAGTTCGTCATTCATATTTCTTTCCTCGAACTTTATACTTTTTAATCGTGTAAGAAAAAACGTCCCCTGGTCACTTAACTTTTTTGCAAAAAATCGTGGCACGCGTGTTTGGTTCATAGACAGTTCAACTTGTTGATCAGTTGAATAATTTGATATCGCCAGTAAAACATTTTATTAGTGTACATTTTGATTTAGATAATAATCATATTCATCAGTGATCTTCAAACCTTTGCAGCAGCGTGAACACTGAATATGCCGTTTTGATTACCTGCAATGACATGATTTGAATTAGGAGATTATTTTTGAAAAGATATTTGAGAAGACGTAGAATTAGGAAGTTGAAATCAAATTATTCATAGGAGAAAAGATAGCTAGTTTCGTCATTTGGGCTTATTGAATTAAGTCTGACGGAAGATCGATAGAAATAAAATATACCACGCGAGCATTTTGAGAGTGGAGTGAGCTTACGTCCAGAGATTTTAGTACTAGAAGGATCGATCATCATTTCTTAATGCGAAGCGGAAAGCGGAAGAAGGAGAAAACCGGCTGCATATCTCAGTTGTGGAAACATGTGGGTGTTTTATTTATTTTATCACATCCTTGAAGTTATTTACTAAGCGCAACAATTTCCGGAACAAGTATTTGCCACAATCTTTATTGGTCTGGATAGGAAGTGTTTTGAAACAGCAATCTTTGCAAAATGTCCAGAAGCGCTTAACGTAAAAAATATCTTTTACCAATGTCAGATGCGACCTAATAATATACTAAGTGACATATAAATCCGAACACCCAGTTTAAATGGTTTTATTTTAATAAAATTTTGTATAAGTACTTAATGAAGCATAATAAGTAAATGATAAAAATTTTAAAATGATTGCACTGCTTTAAAGCCCTTTGACCTTTAATAATGTGTGGATGCACCCTGATGTGCTACGCATTCTCCAACGCGCCTAGGCATGCTTCTGATCAGGTGGTCAATGTCCGCCTGTGGTATCTCATTCCAGGCAACCACCAACTCCTCTCGAAGTGCTTCTAGAGTCTGAGGAGGACGTTGCAAAGTGAGCAATCTCCTACCCATCATATCCCACACGTGCTCAATTGGGGATAAGTCGGGAGATCTTGGTGGCCATGGTAACAATGTGACATCATTATGTTGAAAGAAGTCTATTATGACTCTTGCAACATGTGGTCGGGCATTATCTTGTTGGAAAGTTGGATCTGCCAAGGAGTCAAGATAGGTAAGAGATGGGGTTCTAGAACTTCATGGATATAACGCTGCGCGTTCATGTTACCTCTGATGAAGATTAAAGGTGACCTGGAACCATAAGCTATAGCACCCCAAACCATAACTCCAACAGTGTGATGAACTTGTCTTTCAACAAAAAACTGTGTATTCCTCCTTTCACGACGTCGCCTTCTAACCCTGGCACGACCATCGTGCATGCCTAAACAAATCGAGACTCGTCACTAAAGACAATACTGTTCCATACCTGATCCCAGAGTGATCGCTGTCTGCACCACTCAAGGCGATTACGTCGGTGTTCTCGAGTTAAAGAGAGGACCAAGTGTGGCCGGTATGAAAACAAGCCAAAACTTCTCATTCGTCGGTAAACACTTCGCATGCCAATAGGTCTTCCGTGTTCTGCAAACCATTCATTTGCAATGGACCTGGTAGTGGAGAAACGGTCCCTTAAGGCCAATAATCTTAGGCGGCGATCTTCACGGTCTGTTGTTCTACGGCGGCGTCCAGTGCCCCTTGCTCTTTGTGTACGGCCTTCTCGAAGCCATGCCCGACAACACCTAACCACAGTGTCTACACTTCTTTGCACTCTAACTGCAATTGCCCGAAAAGAAAGTCCAGCTTCCCGAAGTCCCACTATACGGCCCCTATCAAACTCACTAAGTTGACGAAATCGTACAGGTCTCCGTACTCTAGGCATCGTAACCGATCGTAAAGGATGTCAAGAACCAAAATCCGCCAACGTTGATTTTTTACTGCGGCTGAAATATTTATTTTTAGAGCGTTAGTGAATTAAAAAAAAGCAGTATAAAAACCGGAATGTCCAACTGATAAGGCTGACATTTTTTTCAATTGTTATTTACAGTAAGATAAATACATTCACCAACTTTTATTAAAATAAAACCATTTAAGCTGGGTGTTCGGATTTATGTCACTTAGTATATTTTTAGGCTCTTGAGGTAGTCAAAGCTGCAACATTTTTTTTGTGAATCATACTATGCCAGTTTCATACAAAACTATAAATTAATGCATCGGTGATAGGGGTTTGCTTAAAACTAGAGAAAAGACTCTTTTTGTTCTGCTCTGCAATCATTATTTTCAAAGCGACAAAAAGTACCATCGTGCATATTTAACCAACTTCTGCCCTTTGCCAGAATGGCGTACATCGAGAGTGTATCCTGAAACACCTTCAATAGAAACCTCAGTTACTTCTGAAAACATCCACTTCAAACCTTAATTCGTCTGATGTTTAAAAGCAAATGGTAAAAATATCTAAATGCGATAATTTAAATGTTACTACCGTCACGAATACTGGCAAAGATGCATCAAAAGTTCCTCCACCTAAGCGGATAGCCAGCGGACGATTTGTAAGTTGTATGTAGATTTGTATCAGCCTCTTATATGCAACGTCAGCATTAATCCATTTGGAGCTAAATATTGCGTACGATATCTTCTCGCTCTGAAAGAAAGACAAATAGATTTCAACCAGAAATTGCTCAAGCAAATGGAAAACAAACACAGCAAGGAATGCATTTTATGCCAATTTACTGCCCAATTTGTGTGATGATGATTGGTTAGGAGACACAATTTGCAAAAATGTTACAGGTGGCTGGGTGTTTGAAGAGTTCCGGATCCCCACGATAACTTGTGAACTATCAGCTATCTAATGATAACCTTGGATTTGACCTTAACTCCGACCTTAAAGTGAATTTGAAGGTCAAGTTGATGTTTTAAATGGGGTTGTTCATGATAGCAATAGCTTCTCTAACCTCATTGTAAGAAAGAGTACGGAAACTGAACATTTTGTTTGATACGCATTGGAGGGGATGTTAGTATAGACACGTGTACGTTTATTATTCCTTATTTGCTTACCTGATAGATCACTGCACTTCCACACCAGCATTGGCTGTAAATTATTAATACCACTGCTGACAGATATGGTAAGAAAAACAGTAATCCCGAGCGGTCAACCTGGAAAATAAATGATCATCTGTATTGTAACACTGCGATTTTGAAATGCCCGACCATGATTCGTTCTTAAACAGAGCCGATATCATCACTAAATCATCATCAGTAAGATCTTGTTTATTAGCTGTTCCATTTTCTCTGTAATTAATAAACCGATTTGCACAAACTTAAAAAAATTAGTTAACAATCCTATAGCAAATTGATTCGTACAAAGATACTGCAGCGTGGAAGTGGTGAGTGTGTAGACACGACTTTGTGTTTGGAATATTTCCATGCAACTCACCTGTATCATCAATGCCATACTTGTACATATGTTAAAAACACCACACATAAATACGGCAGAAACTCCTATTTCACAGAATTTTTGCATTTTTTTGATGAACCTAAAACGTACGAATATTTCTGAAGCACATAGGTATAATATATACTAAGTGACATATAAATCCGAACACCCAGTTTAAATGATTTTATTTTAATAAAAGTTGGTGAATGTATTTATCTTACTATAAATAACAAGTGAAAAAATTTTCAGCCTTATCAGTTGGACATTCCGTTTTTTATACTGCTTTTTTTTAATTCACTAACGCTCTAAAAATGAATATTTCTGCCGCAGTAAAGAATCAACGTTGGCGGATTTTGGTTCTTGACATCCTTTACGATCGGTTACGATGCCTAGAGTACAGAGACCTGTACGATTTCGTCAACTTAGTGAGTTTGATAGGGGCCGTATAGTGGGACTTCGGGAAGCTGGGCTTTCTTTTCGGGCAATTGCAGTTAGAGTGCAAAAAGCTGTAGGCACTGTGATTAGGTGTTGTTAGGCATGGCTTCGAGAAGGCCGTACGCAAAGAGCAAGGGGCACTGGACGCCGCCGTAGAACAACAGACCGTGAAATCGCCGCCTAAGATTATTGGCCTTAAGGGACCGTTTCTCCACTACCAGGTCCATTGCAAATGAATGGTTTGCAGAACACGGAAGACCTATTGGCATGCGAAGTGTTTACCGACGAATGAGAAGTTTTGGCTTGTTTTCATACCGGCCACACTGGGTCCTCCCTTTAACTCGAGAACACCGACGTAATCGCCTTGAGTGGTGCAGACAACGGTGACTCGGATCAGGAATGGTACAGTATTGTCTTTAGTGACGAGTCTTGATTTTGCTTAGGCATGCACGATGGTCGTGCCAGGGTTAGAAGGCGACGTGGTGAAAGGAGGAATCCACAGTTTTTTGTTGAAAGACATGTTCATCACACTATTGGAGCTATGGCTTGGGGTGCTATAGCTTATGGTTCCAGGTCACCTTTAATCTCCATCAGAGGTAACATGAACGCGCAGCGTTATATCCACGAAGTTCTAGAACCCCATCTTTTACCCTATCTTGACGCCCTGGCAGATCCAACTTTCCAACAAGATAATGCCCGACCACATGTTGCAAGAGTCACAATAGACTTCTTTCAACATAATGATGTCACATTGTTACCATGGCCACCAAGATCTCCCGACTTATCCCCAATTGAGCTCGTGTGGGATATGATGGGTAGGAGATTGCTCAATTTGCAACGTCCTCCTCAGACTCTAGAAGCACTTCGAGAGGAGTTGGTGGTTGCCTGGAATGAGATACCACAGAAGGACATTGACCACCTGATCAGAAGCATGCCTAGGCGCGTTGGAGAATGCGTAGCACATCAGGGTGCATCCACACATTATTAAAGGTCAAAGGGCTTTAAAGTAGTGCAATCATTTTGAAATTTTTATCATTTACTTATTATGCTTCATTAAGTACTTATACAAAATTTTATTAAAATAATACCATTTAAACTGGGTGTTCGGATTTATATGTCACTTAGTATACTAAGTGACATATAAAATGCAACACCCAGATTTATTTATTGAATTTTGATAAAGACTTGTAAACATATTTGCTATCATGGAAGTACGTATATATGCTGATAAAATGTAGAAGGCGTTCCAAGCCGTACTTTTTTGTCGTATCACGATCCGAACAATAAGAACATGTTAACTTAATATTCAGTGATTTTTCCGTGTTGCTTCCATTTGTTTCATTGTTGTTTCATTGCATTATCATGCGTAGAATTCGTGGACGCGGCTAATTTCCGAGTTTGAGAGCGGTCGGATGATCGGACGTGAAGCCGGATTTTCTCTTAGAGAAATCGCTACTTGGTAAAAGGTAATTATTAGTTTCTTAGCACAGTTAGGTAGAGATTTGGTCGGTAAACGTGCCTTTTCCGAGTAAATGATGCACACACGAACAGTAAGGTTGGCGCTTTCATTGGCACTTGGTTCACACACCGCATGTTATACTCGTAGAACAAAACTGCTAGTTCTTGTCCATTAGAGGGAAGTTTTGAACCGGTAATTTGATACTTTACGTCCTCTATTGAAAATATTCCTTTTGTAGAACTGCGTTTACTAATAACGGGTATTTTTTTCGAACTTTAAGTTGGCATTACTTTTGAAGATGGCGACCGATTTGACAGCTGTCAAGTGATTTATTCTCAGTTTGGTTTGGCAATTCATCATGAATATACTCACGCCTGAACAAAGCTTGCAAATTGTGCAGCTTTATTTCGAAAATAATGGTCCATTTTATCGTCGACAAAATCGTCCATCAGAGCAGTTAATTCGATTAACCATGGAAGGTTTTCGTACCACGTTTACTCTAATTGATAACTCGCATCCCCAGAGACGCCGTACGGTGCGTACAGAAGAAGCTATTGCTACTGTAGAGCGTAGCATTGAGGAATACCCGAATGAGTCCATCTGCCATCGAGCACAGGAATTGGATCTGTGTCCATCCACTTTATGGAATGTTTTGCGGAAGGATCTTGGTTTGCGTGCTTACAAAATCCAACTCGTGCAAGAATTGAAGCCAAACGATCATCAAGCAAGGCGTAGATTCGTTGAATGGGCCCAAAACGAGATTGCCGTTGTTTCCGAATTTCATTAGCGAATTTTGTTTAGCGATGAAGCGCACTTCTGGTTGAATGGCTACGTCAATAAACAAAACTGTCGCATTTGGAGTGAAGCTAATCTTCAAGTCTATGTCGAAACACCGTTACATCCAGAAAAACTGACTGTTTGGTGCGCTTTATGGGCTGGTGGAATCATTGTTCCGTACTTCTTTAAAAAGGATGGTGGACAGAACGTTAAAGCCAATGGTGATCGGTATAGAGCCATGATTACTAACTTTTTAATTCCTGAATTGAACAATCATGATGTCCAGGAGCTGTGGTTCCAACAAGACGGCGCAACATGTCACACAGCTCGTGCTACAATCGATGTATTGAAAGACACGTTTGGTGGCCGCCTAATTTCACCTTTTGGACCTGTGAATTGGCCTCCAAGATCTTGTGATTTAACACCGTTAGACTATTTTCTGTGGAGCTATTTAAAGTCATTGGTCTATGCGGATAATCCACAAACGCTTCACCATTTGGAAGACAACATTCGCCATGTTATTGCCGATATACGCCCACTAATGTTGGAAAAGGTCATCGAAAATTTGACGTCCAGATTGGACTAGATCTGAGCCAGCCGTGGCAGTCATATGCCAGAAATCATATTTAAAATGTAATGCCACAAGTTTATCTTTCGAATAAAAAAAATGCATGTCAATCGCATAATCCATCGTTGTTTTATTGCAATTTAAAGTTCTATACCTCTAAAAAACACCCGTTATAACACTTTAACACTTTCTTTACAATTGTTTTGACATCGTTCAAGCAAAATTATGGTATATTCAGATAAGAGATAGACCGGATGTAAACAAAAGGTTCGGGTGATTTTCACGCTAACGCCGCCGTCTCGACGTAAAACAGGAGCCCTCATTGGTCAATTCGCAATTAAATGCCTATGCCGAGCGGCAGAGCAGTCGTATCAAGGCAGAGTCACATTCAGGTTCAGACGTGTTACGTATGTCGTGTGCATCATTGCAATTTGATATTTCTTTGGACGTTTTCGTTTGTTATCTTATTAAGTTGTTGAGTTTGTCGTTGTTATTGTTATACCTTGTTATTGATTGTTATTGTTATCAACTGCTTGCGCAAAATGCCCAGTAGTACAGATACTGCCGATGAAGTTGTAAACTCCTGTAGTCCACCTAGGAAACGCTCTAAAAAAGACACCTGAGTGCAGAAATGAAAGAGGTCATTTTGAATATATATAAGATCGAGCGCGAGGAGAACGAGGCATCAACCATCAAAGAAATTGTTGTGAAGGTTTCTCACAAAGTTGGGGTGTGTCGCGCATCAGTGTTTAATGTGTTAAGACAATACAAAAAAAATCACACCTTTTCTGAGCCAATGACCAGTAAACATCGCAAAAGTATTGTTAAATCATTGGATGAAGCTGATAAGCATGCGATTATGAGGAAAGTGCATGAATTCTCCTTTAGGAATGAAATACCTACTATAGATAAAGTACTGCAGGAGGTAAATGGAGATACAACGTTGACAAATTTCAAACGATCAACTTTCATGCGTTACTGAAGCATTTAAATTTCTAATGGAAAAAACGGGGTCGTAATAGTTTACTACTGGATAGAGAAGAAATTGTGCTATGGAGGAGGGATTATTTAACAAAAATTGGGAAATATAGAAATCAAAACAGGAAGATTTATTACCTTGATGAAACGTGGGTAAACGCAGAACACACTACAAGTAAAGTATGGGTTGATGATTCTGTAACTTCATCCAGGAGGGCCTTTCTAGATGGACTGTCCACCGGATTAAAAAATCCAGCAGGTAAATACGAGTAATAGACAACAATCGGATGTTTTTCAAACCTTGGGAACAATATTCTAAACATTAATTCCAGGGGGCAGATAAAACATATTACAAGTAACAAAACTTTTATAACTTTCGATAAAATGCGTGGATGTTTTATTGTCATTTTCATTTGTTAGAACTTTTTTAAGCCATGTTTTTATGTGTTTTCGATATTTCAATAATTTTTTAATATCATCTTAAAATATGTCGAATATTATAAACTTAAAAAAAGTTACTAAGTTTTATATTGTGTACCGTTCCTAATATTTCTAATCACTTTAATTCATACTTTAAGCTTTATAAAGTTATAATTTGTTAATATTAATATTTGCGCCTATTTCAGGTTCCTGATCATTCATTTTTTAAAGGTTTACAACTTTAAATTAAATTGTGAAGCGCTGAGTAATCATACGACTTCAATATTCTTTCTTTCAATATGACTAAATAATCCCAATTATAGCAATCTGATACTCATGTCTCAATCTTTTTTCGCTGAATGTGATGAAAACATTTGAAAAGGTTCGCTTATTGATATAAATCTACACCAGTTAGTACTTCGATTTCCAGGTAAAGGGAAAAGGCTCATTATCTGCCATATTGGCAGTGAGGATGGATTTGTTGTTGACGGTCTGTGGTGCTTTGAGTCTAAGAAAACTGGAGATTACCACGAGGAAATGAATGGCGAATCGTTTGAACAGTGTTTTTCAAAAATTTTACCGAACTTAGAGGAAAACGCAGTAATTGTGTTGGATAATGCGCCTTATCATTCTCGAAGAATGGAGAAGGTCCCAACAACGGCTTCAAGGAAAGTTGATGTTCAAAATTGGCTCCGCTCGAAAAATATCAACTTTGAAGAAGCAATGCTGAAAGTACAATTATTAAGAATTGTCAAGGATCACAAGGCGGAATATCAAAAATACGCCATTGACGAAATGGCAGCAAGTCAAAATAAAACTGTGCTCCGTTTACCTCCATACCATTGCGAGCTCAATCCCATTGAGCTCATATGGGCAGAGGTTAAAAATTATATAGCTAAGCACAATACAACTTTTAAATTTTGTGACCTCAAAGGACTCTTCAAAGAAGCACGTGAAAGACAAAGTTGAAAAGAGAATGTGGGAACTAGACAATATTTTAGAGGAACAAGTCGAGCCATCCATTATTGACGTTGGTGCTTCAGGCAGTAGCGATGATGAAAGCTCATCAAGCTCATCTTTCCAATAAAAGATGTCGTTCATCAAATTCGGTAAGTTATAAGTAATTATAAAGCTACTGTATTTTTTAATTAATTATTGACATTTCTGAACCCATTTTGGCAAAACCTATTCAAGAATCTACTTTCTGACAATGTTCAACCATGCACATTTTTTTACGTTTTGAACGTTTTAATTTGGTTACATATTTACCTAGAAATCAAAAAATATACTAATCAATATTCTAAAAGCAATTTTAAGAGATATACGATTATTTTTAATTTAGGCTAATTTAAACGCCATTTTGAGATTATATTCGACTGTATTTCACCAAACATCAGGCGGCAATCCGAAGCTGGAAATCGAAGCGAAAATTTTGAAACCCTTATGTATATTTACATCATTATATATTTCTTACCCCACCCCCACATGATCCTATATCCATCACCAATCGTATACACATCGAATTGTGCTAATTTACTACAAAGTTACGCAAAGCAGCATCTACTATCTAAAATATGTATTGCGTGACTCTTAATACGTCCCTGCCGAATGTTACAGCGTTCGATGATCACGTGGTCTTGTTCATGTCCGGTCTATCTCTTATCTGACTATACTTTAGAGGCTATGCGTTTGAAAAAAAGAACTTTCATTTTTTGAGTCTCCGAAATCGGATGCAAATTTTGTTCATGATTAAAAAAAATGTCTAGGAAAAAGTATTTTTTAAAAGCGTACAACGTTAAATTTGTAATGATAATCAACATGTACTTCATGGGTTTCTAGACTGTGATTGAAAATTATTCTTAGAATTATCCACTTACAAAGCACTGATTTGAAAAACAGGTGCTAAAACCCTCGTAAAAGTGATCATCAGCACACGGTTTACAGTAACACAGTTTCAAAGAACGTAGAGCCAATGTTACCAGGGGTCTGTCTGCTTTAGGAAAGAGGTCCGGAGCACTTTCCTCCAATAACGCAAAGCTATTTGCAGTGTAATCAAATAAAAAAAAGCTTGGTCTCGATGTCGGTGAGATTCAAATAAACTAGTATTTCGTACTGATGCTTCCAGCACTTGTTCATGGAATTACGACCACGGTCACATGGTATTAGAGAGTTTTCAATAACGATTTTTTTTATAGAAAAAAGAGAAAATAGTATTTTTTGACCACTCCAGTGAACCATTGAAATATGACACTCCTGATTACTGACAGTCATGGCGGGTTGGTTGCTTTTTTTCGATTCGAACACCAAAAATCTTGTTAACTTTTTTTAAATAAAAGTTTATGTAATCTGTGTGTATTTGTATCAAAACCAGCAGAACTACAACAAAAAACTACCTATATGTTATTCAAAATACTGCATATTTCTTGCATTTATTTTTGTCTGTGATCTAAAATACATATTTCTATTATATTTTCATCAATATGTTATGTTTTTAAAACTCTATTAATGCGGTTTCATTTTGCCAGGTCTAGGAGCACTATGGCATTAACGGCAACGTTTTCTGCGCAAAATTTTATTTTGTACTTGTTCCTACATGTCAAGTGTTTGTTGATAAAACAACTTACGTGAGTATTTCCACATGCCAATGGATGCAACCTCTCAAATCCATGTAGCCTTCCATCTCCTTCAGAGATGCTTCTAGTAGCCGTAGCTGAATCACAATTTCTATTAGCACGCCGGCACCTAAAGTCACATATGTCGCACACATGTAGGCGCTAGTAGAACAAATTATCGTCTAGAAGTATTTACTCCGATTTAGTCTGAAGCTCGAACGAGTAACTGGTATAAACATACCTGATAGATGAAGAACATCTCGGCGTTAAGACCAGCAAAAGTATGCGCTGATAGCGTGAATTCGTTGCCGGTCAGAATATTGACAAAAACATACATTATCATGCAGATGCTACTGTTAATGAAGAATACCTTGACAAGAAAAATATAATTGAAAAAACCACCAATGATGCACAATAGACCAGTGACTCGCAGTGGAGGATCGTGATTGACACAGACACAGAAAATCTATCCTAACCTTAACTACGTATGTACCTATATGAATAGTGAAAAGGTTCGTTTCTATCTCATAGATTTGTTAGTACTTGGACCTGTATAATATATTTAGTCCAACAGGCCTATATAGGTTAATGCATCCTCTACTATACTACAACTATTTAAAACTGTAATGACTCATACGCGTGATCAACACGTGATCAGAGCTCGATCCCGGCTTCCTTCCAGTACAGCCGTATAGCGTACGACATATATCGTTTCTGTGGCTTTGCGGTGGTCAACAGCACAGACAGAGATGGAAATAATGGCTGATTGTTCTCCGCCGGTAGAACCAATGAAATCAAAGACGCGCCTCGACTGGCATACTCATAGGCGTCGGCAACGCATTGGAACGTGTTTCGTTGAGCGATCGCATATTGTGTTTTTATAAGAATTGTTGTGTGATCGTTATTGTTGTGGTTTCTGTGGTTACTGTTTTGGTTATACTTAACCATGGAGAGTACAAATGGCACGAGTGGAAGTACTGAAAGCCAGGGAACAAGTAGACGACTTCGAAAAGCACTGAAGAGGGACGCGAAAGAAATCGTGCTCAACGTGTTCAATTATCTGAACAGAACTATGTCGCAGGGAGATGCACTCGCGCGTTGTGAAAGTATGACAGGCGTTCCAGAGTGGACCATTCGCAGGGTGGTGCATGAAAAGAAGAAAACTGGAGCTACTACTGATCCAAAGTTTAATTTGAAGGGACGAAAGGCCATTAAATTGGATGACGATAGCAAAATGGCGTTAAGGTATATTCATTCTTCTTTAGGAATGAGATACCAACCCTCAAGGCTGTACATGCAGCGATCAAGGAAAATGAAATTATACCCCAAATGAGCGTCGAGGTAATGAGGAAATCCCTGCACGAAATTAATTTTCGTTACGAAACGCGTAATCGGAAGTCAGTATTGATAGAGAGACCTGAAATAGTCCGCCTGGCGTCGAAAATAGCTACGCGAAATGATTGAATATAGGCGACAAAGCAGAAAAATCTATTATTTGGACGAGACATGGGTAAATGCAGGTCACACAGTTAAAAAAACCTGGATAGACAAAAACGTTGTGAGTAACCGACAAGCAAGCATTGAAGGTTTGTCAACAGGTCTTCGTGGACCGTCAGGGAAAGGTCAAAGATTGATCGTAACTCATATTGGTAGCGATAGTGGCTTTTTAGAAGAGTGTGACTTGGTTTTCGTCTCTAAGAAGGAGGTGATTACCATAACGAAATGAATGCCAGCTGCTTCGAGAGCTGGTTTCAAGGGGTGCTTCAGCGAGTTGAGCCCAACTCTGTGATCGTCATGGATAATGCTTCCTACCATAGTCGTCGAGCCGAACGTGTACCGACTATGGGATCTCGAAAAAGTGACATGCAGCAATGGTTGCGCGAAAAAGGAATCCCGTTTGACGATTCATGTGTGAAAGCGGAATTGTATGAAAAAATTAAACAGCACAAACCTGCGAACATTAGTTACGTGACTGATGAGATGGCCCGTCAATGTGGTGTCACTGTGCTGCGGTTACCGCCCTACCACTGTGAACTGAACCCAATAGAGCTCATCTGGGCTCAAGTGAAGGGTATATTGCACGCCATAACACAACCTTCAAATTACCAGACGTTCAGGTTTTACTTGAGACTTCCATACACCTAGTAACGCCCGAAGCTTGGCAGAATGCTATCCGACATGTTGTGAAGGAAGAAACAAAAATGTGGCAGCTTGACCACCACATCGACACCATCATAGAGCAAGTTATAGTCAATTTCAACGAGGAAAGCGATAGCGACAGTTAATTACTGTCAGATGTAAATGGAAGCGACGATGAATAAAGGTAATTCCCAAATGTTTGACTTAAAATATGTTTCGAACCACTCTTTATTAAGCATGTGACAAATCTGGTTCACCCATGTTGAACATTCATACCCTGCCTATGAACAGCCGACTACTGGTAGTTAAGTGATGTTCACGTGAACATCGATGAGTCATTACAGTTTTAGATAGTTATAGTATAGAAAGACTTTCTCAGTCATACAAAGAAGGGGACTGAATCAGTGGTCTTGATAAAAAAAAGGAATGCTGTTAAAGGACTCCTTTCAGAGCGGATATAGAAAGTGGCAAAATATTTTGGTCAGTATGGCTACTATTGTTGGTGAATTTAAAGTTAAACGGGATCCTGTCGGGAAAACCCCATTCAACGTGTATCAATGGTACCATGGAGAATCAAAGTTTTTAACCGTCTATTTTTATGGATTCCAGAGGACAGTTTTTCTTTGTTATCTAAGATTTATTGTTTTTTTTTTGAAGACAACTAATAAAAAAAAGCATTTCAAGTGTTCACTTTACTCATCTCCCATATCAAACGTGAAATTCATTGAAAATGTGTGTACTACTGTCAAGCTCGAGGAATCTCCAACTTAAAGTAGTTTAAAAGATACCTTTTGGATCATACGTGCTGTACTTTTCCATTTCTCAGCATCTGCAACTTGTTCCAAAGTCTTCGGTTGAAACTTGTCTGTTTGCATTTTTGTCTGGATAAAATGTATCATATCAATATTAAGGTAGATGTTCACCATCATCACTAGGTTGATCACAGCTGATGAATAGACGAAAACCACAGAGTTCACGTCAGTAATTGTCAAGGTGTCCTTTTTATCAAAAAGATACCAGAAACCTGTTGTAACGAAGATAATGTGTGACAGCACCATCAGAGCTCTGTACACGCTGTACCATACTGTGTTGAATATGGAGTTTGGGCTAGAGCTTTTCCAGAAGCCTAGCAGCTTTATACATGTTATGCTCGGTTCCACCACGGAAACAAAATTAAAGGCGAGAAAGCCATTCATCGTTTTGTATTCATCGTTTATAATATGCAACGTATATATGGGGCTTCGATAATGGCTCATTGGAGTTATTCAGGGATGAAAAGTACCTTTATGTACAGGTTTACAGGGTTGCTGTATTTTATTACAATTGAATCGGAGATTTCAAAATCGTTATAAGTCATACAATTTGAATTGTCCAGAAGACGGTGAAGATACTATAATTAGCAAATACACCAATTTTCAAAACTTTCTTCTACTTGCAGCTTTGGGTTATAATTGATTGAAATGTAAACTTGACAGTTTATTTCACGTTGATCATATGGATATCTTCAAGCAAAGTGAACCATCTGCTTAATTAAAAAAAACATTAGTTTTGTTTGCGCTTAGGTCAATAATGAAACACTTGTAGCCGCTATATTTATTACTTATATTTGTACATGTATATTATTATTAGATACATATGCCCAAAGTAGTGTTTTGGCGATTACCCAAAACAGAATTATTACGAATCAATCACAAAACCATTTACAGAAGCCCTCAGCTTAATATAAGCAGATTAAAAAACGTGAGAACCATTTGAAAGCTTACCTAAATATGTCGGAAACATTAATATATCTAATAGGATATTCACCTTTAAGTCATTATCCTGCCTGTAAACGCATGCTACATTTCTTGAGGAAGGTAATGACTCGCTATCTTCCACATCACTGTCACTATCGCTGTCATCATCCCCGATGTTAATAATAAATTCTTCAGATGTGGCGTCTACTTTACGTTCCCGTTCCAGATATTCAGTTTCAATTTTGATGACGTGTCACGTCGTTTCTTTCATCATCTGGTGTTATCTTTGAAATTCCTCCTCCGCGATTCGCTGTGCGTCATCTAAAGTAAATATGATCTGCAACTCTGTTCTTCACTGTAGTCCATGTCAATTCAATTTGGAGGTAGTCGTATAACTGTGTGTCCATGCATGCGGAAAAGTACATCATATTTATACTCTATGAATTGTTGCCTTTTTTTCTTCATCAATTCAAAAGTTGTGGTTCCAGTATAGTCGGTGTGAATCTAATATCTTTAAATACAAGTCAGTCAACCATTACTTGCTTCCGAGCGTTGTACCTCATAGTAGTACATTTATTTATTGACATTCAAGTGCATGTTATTTACCTTACACCAGTGATCAATAACATTCAAATCAGCCTGTAACCTTAAGCAGCACGCGATTTTGAGGTCATCGGCAATTAGCAGGTACTCACAACGCAAGTATGTTGTAACATCATTGATAAAAATTAAAAATAATAGAGGACCCAGAACAGAACCTTGGGGCACCCCTGATGTAGCCCTAGTATGTCCGGCATGTATGTAGGACTCATCTAGGTATACAATTTTGCGGCCTTGTTCTCGTGAGTACTTGATTTTTTGTAGATAGCTGATTCTTAGTTGACGATGAGTAGTTTTCTACTATTCCGTGTTTTTTTCATTTGAGCGAGTTGCTTAACGATTCTTCTCAAAGATTTTTCGCTACCATGCCAATCGAAATCTTCTGCTAGTTTCTTACTAAGCGCTCCGATTATTTATTACTCGAGACGAGCTTGTTAAATGGAAATTATAGATAATGTTCTTATATCTGCGGTAGTGGAAATTCGCGTTTGACAGATCTGTCACGGGAAATTTGCGCTTTCGTACAGTACCAATCTCCCCAGAAGACGCTGCTACGTTCTTGTCATTACTTCCGGCATCCTTAACCTTTTTAACAATGCGAGTATTACTGGTAATTGATACTCCTGTTTATTTTATTTATTTATTTATTTATATACAGTTTGGGGTGTTAACAGGTAAACCCAACACACACCCTCAGTGAACTAAAACTAAACTTACATAAAATATCGTATACGTATACATATATTACATTATTGAATACTTCATATTAATATTTTTTTATCCTCCGATATTGTTGTAACAACATAAACTGAGTGAGTAGTTTCTAATTATAAGCAATTAACTATTAATTTAACTTTTTTAATAAAAGGAGTATACATAATTTAACATTTACGTACATTTAATTAAAACTGAAATCAAAATTAAATTGAAATTATACCAGAAATGATATTGGAGGTGATAACTTGAGTTATGTAAAAAAATAAACATTTCTATTTTAGTCTGCCATAGAGCTGTAATACTCATACTTAAAGCCTTTTTCAGGGAGGTCAAGCTAATGTTAAATAAATCTATATTACAGAAATATTATGATTTTTGAGCCCTGAACAAAGGGGAATTAAGACCAAGAATTGGTTCTACGGAACGGTATTCTAACAGATGATAGGTTCTAAACGTTCTATCAGGAGTGTTAAAGTTCAAGTTTGCCAAAAGATCCGGACAGTCAGTGAGGCCATTCAACAATTTATGGACACAGCAAATGTCAGAAATCGTTCTTCTATTTTTTAAGGAAATCATATTGAACTGTTTCATAATTTGCGTATAATGATGATCTGTACAGGTTGGTGAGTTTTTATGTGCTAACATCTTCAAAATTTGTGTTGAATTCTTTCTATCCTGACTATTGCTTTAGCTACTCGTCTGGTTGGACGAAACTTTAGTTCTACCCAGATTAATCATAGTAGAAATATTATCACTATTCTATGAAACAAAACGTGCGCTTCAACTTCAGCTGTAGGCGTCAGTTGGTACTCGGTACGCTACTGGAATGACGCCGGGCGAGGCGCCATGCAGTGTTGCCGCCGTTCCGTGAGAGGAGCTTGTTACTGCGCACCATATGACCAAATCTTGGTAGGTGCCGGCAACTGTATGTCGGTTTAGCAAGTTATAGAGTCCACTTTATGTGTAAGTACATATGGAAAACACGGACAAATCAAATGTCCTCGTATAATTTTCAATCAGTTTTAAAAGAACCCACATGCCTAATTTCTACCAGATAGCCAAGTGTATTTATTCAGTAAAAAATAATTGATTTTGCAACATAGGTGTTGTGCGTATTATTTCATTTCTGTACTATAAATACCTTTTTAAAATATGTAGCATTTTTAAGAGATTTTTAGGGAGGGAGCTATTTACTTTGACGAGGCGTTCATATAATTAAGATCTAACATCACTTACAGGTAAGTTCGTTTGATCATGTAGAACAGGTGTAGATGTTCAAAGCGAGTTTCAACAACATACCACTAACGCTCTGCAATAGTAAACGATAGGCTGAACACAATTGCACAAACTGTACACAATGCATACGTTACATGTCCACTGTAACAACTAACTAAAAGGGATTTTAACAACAGGTATACGACTTACATGGGTTCAAAATAAAATACAGTTCGTTTAAGGTCTGAAGACCTGGCTTACCGCAAATGCCGGTTGAGCAAAGTTTACTGTTTGCCTGAGCATGCCGTAATTTGACCGGCGCAGAGGTAGACTGTGGGCTGTCAATTGTGACACATCTAGACTAATCTCTGATGAGACAGACTTTATCGATCTATACATAGCGGGAACAGAGCCACAGGCACAAGGAATGAACTCGTGCGTTTGGCCGGGAAACGGGGTACTACACCTGTTCTATTTACGAGAAGAGGCAGAACATAATTGGTATTTCGATACATATAGCACATAAATATGGGAAGGAAATAAATCGATGTTCCTGGTTCGCTTTTTGAAATGACTCATTGATTCACTTGCTTGTAATGGACGTGCACTAGGCAATATTATCTGAGCATCTTGGATAAATGTAACTTAGATGGTGTGACTCGATTTTTTAATACATTCTGCCGAAAAATGAGTCAAAGGGTACTTTGTACAAATCGTTTGAAATAATGTATTTCTCTAGATCCTCAGTCACGAGTGTTTTTGAGAAACTCAACGAAATTTTAATTCTGTCTCTCTCGAAGATGATAATCTTTCCTCACAACTTGTACTCGTATTATCGACTCAATAGTTTTGACCGGCAATGATGATTCAACAGAGTTCACGGTTCCTAAGCTAAGAATCATCAGGTATTGTACATTTCAAAAGTTCATTGAGAATATCAAATTTATGGGTGAACTACACCTTCGCTTCAAGAAATGCTTCCATTTCCAATACATTTATAGTTTTAGTTTAATATTCTAAATAATAGCTACACAGACAGATATAGATCCTGGTTCTCCAAAAATGGTTTTACTACTGCTGAACCAAACAATATCAACCTATGGAGATTTGATTCCGTTATGAGTAGCCACCATTTTTATGAAACTGAACCACTTTAGCAGTAGAAAACGTAACATGGAATCTCTTAAAAGCTGGTAACTAGTTCTCAAATCCTTAACTTGGGCAATACCTGGGCCAATGACCTTCCCGTTGAGATTTGACGAGGATATTCTTAATTGGAATCCTTCTCCAGCTCCAAATATAACTGAGAAAGATGCCGCCTTGTATACTTGCCTAATAATACATTTATAAAATACATGTTTCTGTTGTGCCTATCATCTTACATATAATCTACATTGTGCAAGATAATCATACTGTATAGAATATCACTAGTGGTGGTTGTATATGCTCTTACATTGATTCGGGTTGTAAAATATGCATGGACTTTATTTTCAGGTATATTTTATAAACACGTACAAAACTCAATAGTCTAAGACTGTGCTTTTCTACTTTCCAGGCCAATTGGAAATATCCATTTCCAGTTTGAAAAAAGAAACGCAGTGCTAGCTATCAACATTTTATTTCAAAGCATCTAATGGCTGTTTTGGGATTAAGTAAAAAAGTTTGTTCATGGTTCAATCCAAATTCAGTCATATACTAAGTAACATATAAATCCGAACACCCAGTTTAACTGGTTTTATTTTAATAAAATTTTGTATAAGTACTTAATGAAGCATAATAAGTAAATGATAAAAATTTCAAAATGACTGCACTGCTTTAAAGCCCTTTGACCTTTAATAATGTGTGGATGCACCCTGATGTGCTACGCATTCTCCAACGCGCCTAGGCATGCTTCTGATCAGGTGGTCAATGTCCTCATGTGGTATCTCATTCCAGGCAACCACCAACTTCTCTCAAAGTGCTTCTAGAGTCTGAGGAGGACGTTGCAAATTGAGCAATCTCCTACCCATCATATCCCACACGTGCTCAATTGGGGATAAGTCGGGATATCTTGGTGGCCATGGTAACAATGTGACATCATTATGTTGAAAGAAGTCTATTGTGACTCTTGCAACATGTGGTCGGGCAGTATCTTGTGGAAGGTTGGATCTGCCAGGGTGTCAAGATAGGGTAAAAGATGGGGTTCTAGAACTTCGTGGATATAACGCTGCGCGTTCATGTTACCTCTGATGAAGATTAAAGGTGACCTGGAACCATAAGCTATAGCACCCCAAACCATAACTCCAACAGTGTGATGAACATGCCCTTTAACAAAAAACTGTGGATTCCTCCTTTCACCACGTCGCCTTCTAACCCTGGCACGACCAAACAAAATCGAGACTCGTCACTAAAGACAATACTGTTCCATTCCTGATCCCAGAGTGACCGTTGCCTGCACCACTCAAGGCGATTACGTCGGTGTTCTCGGGTTTAAAGGGAGGACCCAGTGTGGCCGGTATGAAAACAAGCCAAAGCTTCTCATCCGTCGGTAAACAGTTCGCATGCCAATAGGTCTTCCGTGTTCTGCAAACTATTCATTTCCAATGGACCTGGTAGTGCACTCTAACTGCAATTGCCCGAAAAGGAAGTCCAGCTTCCCGAAGTCCCACTATACGGCCCCTATCAAACTCACTAGGTTGACGAAATCGTACAGGTCTCCGTACTCTAGGCATCGTAACCGATCGTAAAGGATGTCAAGAACCAAAATCCGCCAACGTTGATTCTTTACTGCGGCTGAAATCTTCATTTTTAGAGCGTTAGTGAATTAAAAAAAAGCAGTATAAAAACCGGAATGTCCAATTGATAAGGCTGAAAATTTTTTCACTTGTTATTTACAGTAAGATAAATACATTCACCTACTTTTATTAAAATAAAACTATTTAAACTGGGTGTTCGGATTTATATGTCACTTACTATATTTAGTTAGTCATTAAGAGGCATTTCTGGAAAGTCGAATGGGTTATCTCTCTCTTCCGGTTTAACCGGAAGTGACCTTGACTTTCGTTTTTCAAATGGAAAAATGTATATTTTCTTTCATAATACTCTATGCAAAATTCCCTTTCCAGCGATGTCACAAGTGACATTTTCGTTTTAAAATAGCGGCGCTATAAATTAATTTGTGCTTACAAGACAAAAAAATTCTGTCACGGTTGCGATGTGATCAAAATAAAAAAATATAATTTTAGGCAAAGTAATAAAAAAATGTTTTTATTTTCTATTTTATAATAACAGAGTCAAAACAACTCCCTTTGACTGTTTTTAGGTTCAAACAGACGCGGTCAGGAACTCTAATCTTTCGTTATAAATTAATAAAAGGGCAAATGTGCGGGATATTTACCTGTGAAACATGCCTAATAGGCACATGGAAATCCAGTAGTTAAAAGTGTATAATATACTAACGGTAATAAATAGGCGCGGACTTGAAGTACCAAGTGTAAGGATATTGAGGTCGTTAAATTAATGCAATTCTGTAACAAGCTCATATACAGGGTGTTTCAGTTTATTGTTGCATAACTTTAAGATTTGATAGAACTTTTTAAAATTAATGCATAAAGTCTATCTAAACATGGGTCGAAAATGCGTGGCTTACGAAATACAGGGTGTTTAAATTTACTTTCTAAAATAGTTTTTTTTAAATATTTCGAACAATATTTGATGTATAACAGTGAAAATGGGTATACAAGGGTTCTTTGGTACGACAAAATGAACCATGGACATAGTTTACTGTAGCCGCTAGAGGGCGCTCTCTACTGTACCTGTAGTGTATTAAAATGACCGAAAAATTTTTCTTAGTGCAATTTTTTACTTTTTGAATAAAAAAACTGATTCTTGGCACTTTTCAATATAAAAAAGCTCTCTTGTGAATTTTCGTTATAGTTAGCCGTTTTTGAGATATTTCGATTTTTAAGGTTCGATGCATTTCTAATTATTTATGATAAAATAACGTTAAAGAGTCAGTATCTCGATAATTTTTAGAAGTAGGCTGTTTTGAAATTGAAAGCAGAATAAGGTTAAACGTCAATTAGTTAGTCAGTTAGTTTTGTTGTCTGTTGAAACCTGAAACGTTTTTTTGCAATTGTGAATGCACGAAATTTAGTTTCTTTTACCTGTTTTTTTTTTGTAAGTTTTATAAAATGCCATTTTTATTCTCCAATCAAGAGTTAGCGGATATTCATTTTGTGTATGGCTTTGTAAATGGAAACGCAGCAGAAATAGCCAGAGAATACGCACGAAGATTTCCAAACAGACGACATCCAACTCGCTCAGTATTTGTAAGAGTGCATCGCCAAATAATTGAAAATAGTCTTGGAAATCTCCAAAGGGATCAAAACATAAATGTTCGTCAGCGCAGATTTACCCGTATGATTCTGCGTGAGTTTGATAGAGATCCGACCACAAGTGTTAGGAGAGTTTCTGGTGCCTTGGGAATTTCAGCAAGCTATGTTCACCGTGTTCTTAGAAATGACCATAGACGTCCTTACCATTTGCAACCTGTGCAAGGACTACAGCCAGGGGACGGAGAACGAAGAATCACATTTTGTCAGTGGATTCTTGATAGAACTGATAATAATAGGGAGTTTTTAAGTAACGTTTTATGGACCGATGAGTCATGCTTCAGTAGACGTGGAGTGGTAAATTTTCATAATCAACATATTTGGTCGCATGAAAATCCGCATGCAGTTCGGGAAAGAAATTTTCAGCATGAATTT